AGTGTTTTGGAATATCAAGAAGCAACCCAGGGGGGAAAACTGTATAATTATATTTAAAGAGAATGAAAGAAAGTAAAAAGATACTATTTTATGGTTACTGTATTAGAAAAAATAAATTTAAATATTAAAAATATTAAGTAAGAAAAATTCTCTTTCATACTTGTATAAATATTACTTTCAGAGTCTTGAAATTTTGGCTATGTTTGCAAGCACTCTGTTCCTGTATAATGAGATTTCTTCTAGCAGGACTTTATGCCAATGCTTACTTAAGTAACTTTTTCATTGCCTTTATTGGGAAAAGAAAATATTTTAGTATCTTTACCACATCTAAAACTGGACAATTATAGCCTAATTATAATATAGTGCACTGAATAAATTTGTATTAATTTAATAGTAATAATTAATGTTAATAATTACTTTGCTATCTGTTACAGGACCTTTTTTCAATCAGTGCTTACGTTTATGCTCAAAAGCCACAACTGGATATTCACAGTTTTGAGGGTACCTTCACACGGGTAAGTAATATTTGTGTATATGCCACATTCTCTTGAGTTTCTTTGAGTGGAGCTCATCACTTTATAAACATTCATTCTTCTCTTAGTTTTAGAGAAGTATTTCCTATGCCCTTGCTATCAAATGGTTGTATAATAGCCTTATTTTGGAAAATAAATGGCAGGAAATTATATTAGCAAATTAAGATAGCCTTTTTTTAAAAGTAGAAATCAGGAAATTGTATGTGTATACATATATCTAAAATAAGACATAAATCTTTATATGATATACAAAGAATTCAGAATAACTGTTCATTTTACCTCTAGTAACAAGATCTATTTTGTGTATGTCACAAATTGTGGTAGCTTTAACATTTTCAGCAGTGTGTTGAAGGAATTGCTCATTTTCTGCATTGATGAACGTTATGTTAAATTCAGTGTAAATCAAAGCAGCTGGCCTACTACAATTAGTTTAACATTCATAGTGACAAAATCATATTTTCCAAAATCCAATGTTAAAGTAAAATACATTCTTCAAAGAATAAAACATGACAATTCACAGGATTAAATTAAACATATTTTCTTCTATATGGGATTAGGTTTAGAATTTAGCATTTATTGTAACATGACATTTGTGTGTCAGGGTAAAAATATCCTCCAAACGATCTTTTAAAAATCATGTCATTAAAAAGCAGAGCTAAGGTTGGCTGAATGCCTTCTACCTTTACGTATGCTTTCCACAATTTAAATCATTTTATTAAAAAGTGACCAAATTATTGAAATTTTTTAGTATGCTAAGCAATGCACAAAATAATATATATATATATATATATATTTTTTTTTTTTTAATTTCAGTAACAGGAATTCAAAAAATTAACAATTAAAAACAGTTATAGAACAATATATTTTTATGGTAAAACATTTCATCCAGATATAACAGCTCTCTGAAAACAATAATGCACCTGGGTTTGTTCCACTGTTAATATTTTGATTTCTATTTTCCTTTTTATATGAATAATATAGCTGGTGGGAGAACCAGGTTGCCAACATTTGAAATTATATTCTCTATTGAAAGAACTGATGCAACACAGGAAACAAAAAGTCAAGCTTCCATATATTTTCTCACTAGTATTCTTTAGTTCTAAACTTGGGGAAATCTCTAGAGGTGAAGCAGTGTTCTGCTCTTTGTGCCCTACCGCCTTAACTTTTTCATTGAAGCTGCTGCAAGAACACAAAGTGTTTTTTTTTTTTCCCTTGAGAATGCCCCTAAGGGAGTGGATGGAGTTTCTCTAACATTTCATACTGTATTCACAGCATTCAGGTTTATTTACATTAATGCAGCAGAATATCACATTATTTAAATGATGCCAAACTTGTTATTTGACATACAGCATGTTTTTCTTGAATTTCTTGTTATTATTTTATGAATTCTGTATCTGTTTCTATAATTAATACATTCTATGAGAACCAATAAATAAGTAGTGAATCTGAAACAAATAGGACTTTTGTAGTCATTGTCATCATCTTGGCTCTTCTGCAGTTGACCTGCATGATTCAGGCTAGTAATATATTTTGGTTTTTATTTGAAATAATTAAGTTCAGCTTTCTCCCCCTGCTGCTGCCTCAATAGCAGTCCTTTTAGCCCATCCCTCCATGGTCTCCTACACATATGTCATTCTGAAATCTCCACGGGGAACACTGACATATCTGGCCCATGTGGATCCCATGCAGTAGAGCTCAGTAGAGCTGCTGGGATGCCTGTCCTTGAGCCTCAGTTCCCTCTTTCCTAGAAAGACTCCAAAAGATCCCATGTTGGAGAGGCCACTCAAAATACTTTTGGGGCAATCTCTGAGCACAGGTTCACTTTCTCATTTGAAGCAAATATTACAGGGGCAAGCTTCTGAAGACAAAATTTAAAAATCAGCACTGGGTTCCCCTCTTCTCCTTTACAGAGTGCAGAAAAGACTAGACCATGAATGAATGATGGTGTGTGTTTATCTGTCCTTTGTGCCATGCAGAAGTGACTGCACTGTTTCAAGTAAGGCTGGTAGCAGGCACAGAGCAGCTCAGTAAGTTTGGGAGAGCCATTCCCAAGTATGCTTAGCTTGCACTCTAGATGTCATCATTGGTTCAGTGAGATTTCAGGATTTTCCATGGGCAAATAGGCCAGTTCTAGTCACAATGGTAAAAATATCTAATTCAATTTTCCTGATAACTGTGAAGAATACAGTCATACCTACTCAAGACAGATTTTCCTGTTGTAGCTAGAGTACAGTTTCTTATCTCCATATAAGCAGCCCATCAACAGGAAAACATGAGCTGCTGCCATGGTTTATATGGCAGAAGTTATATTTAGCACATTTGTTCCTTTACCTAGAAATATTGCTCATCAGAAATTGTTTTGGGCTTGTGAGTAGTCTCTGCCGATGGAAACAGTGATTTCTCTGTGTTCGGGACCTTGAATGTGAGTTGGTTAATAACACATCTGAAAGCTAGACAGAGTTCCCTGATATAGGGAACTCTTTACTTTTTGTACCATTCCCGAGCACAATACAAAGGATATGAACATAAGAACTGCACTTTTTGTTCTTTTCTAGCTGAAGGTGCTCTCTTTGTCCTTGTCCTTTCAGATTTTTTTTTTCTTACGGTGAAGATCTGCTATTGTTAAATTAGTCATCTACTGGGGACCAGGCCAAGTTAATATTGACATTGTTGCTGTTTGGATCACCCAGTAGAAGACGAGGAACCAAATATGTTTGTTTTTTATATATAAAAAAAAATCCATAGCTAAGCCACCCTAGTAAACCAGGGAAACTAGCTCCAGAGACCCTTATTGTGGGGTCTTTGAGAGTCTCCAAGGAAAAAGGTCAAGTCTCTGTTGCTTAATACATCCAGCCTGTTCAACAAAACTTATTTAGAAACATGGATATTAATTGATATTAATTGCTTCCTTAAGGCATGAATATTATTCAGCACCCTAACAAGGTTACTGAACATGATGATGAAATGTAATTTTGCTCCTTACAGCACTGCATGGACTGAATGCTAGTAGGAGGTGTTGTCAGTAGACAATCCAGTAGAACAGAACTCCCAATTACTAGGGGGGCACAAATAAAGATTTTCTTGGCCGATACCAGTGGCCAATGATCTGATAGCTGATTTACAGGAATGCAGGCAGGCAGATTGGAGAGCAGCATCCTGCCAATAAGTCTGTGAGGGGAAACTGTGTGGGGGTGGGAAGGCATGTGGGGGGCCAGATCAAGGGCTCCATGGTGAGGGAGGGAGTGGGGCTGGGGCAGGTGCTGCCCAGCCATGGTGGGGAATGGGACCTGGGCTAGGGCATGGGAT